GCTATGGGGGGTTATGGGGGCACTGGGGTCATTGGGGGCAGCTATGGGGGGGTTATGGGGGCACTGGGGTCATTGGGGGCAGCTATGGGGGGGTTATGGGGGCACTGGGGTCATTGGGGGCAGCTATGGGGGGGTTATGGGGGCACTGGGGTCATTGGGGGCAGCTATGGGGGGGTTATGGGGGGCACTGGGGTCATTGGGGGCAGCTATGGGGGGGTTATGGGGGGCACTGGGGTCATTGGGGGCAGCTATGGGGGGGTTATGGGGGGCACTGGGGTCATTAGGGGCAGCTATGGGGGGGTTATGGGGCAGATGGGGGGGGTATGGGGAGCAGTGGGGTCATTGGGGGCAGCTACGGGGGGGTTATGGGGGGGCACTGGGGTCATTGGGGGCAGCTATGGGGGGGTTATGGGGGGCACTGGGGTCATTGGGGGGCAGCTATGGGGGGGTTATGGGGCAGATGGGGGGCAGCTATGGGGGGGTTATGGGGGGCACTGGGGTCATTGGGGGGCAGCTATGGGGGGGTTATGGGGGCACTGGGGTCATTGGGGGGCAGCTATGAGGGGGTTATGGGGCAGATGGGGGGCAGCTATGGGGGGGTTATGGGGGGCACTGGGGTCATTGGGGGCAGCTATGGGGGGGTTATGGGGCAGATGGGGGGGTCCCTGTTGGTGCCCCCAGGCTCACCCCTGCCCCCCCCAGACGAGCCGTGTCTGCAGCTGCGCAGGAACGTGTTCTTCCCCAAGAGCAGGGAGCTGGAGGTGTGGGGCTGGGGGGGAGGAGGGCACGGGAGCATGTGTGGGTCACTGTGGGGTGATGTGTGGGTCACACTGTGGGGTGATGTGTGGGTCACTGGGGGGTGATGTGTGGGTCACACTGGGGGGTGATGTGTGGGTCACACTGGGGGGTGATGTGGGGGTCACTAGGGTGATGTGTGGGTCACTGTGGGGTGATGTGGGGGTCACACTGTGAGGTGATGTGTGGGTCACTGGGGGGTGATGTGGGGGTCACACTGTGGGGTGATGTGTGGGTCACTGTGGGGTGATGTGGGGTCACACTGTGGGGTGATGTGTGGGTCACACTGGGGGGTGATGTGTGGGTCATACTGTGGGGTGATGTGGGGCTCACACTGTGGGGTGATGTGTGGGCCACTGTGGGGTGATGTGGGGCTCACACTGTGGGGTGATGTGTGGGTCACTGTGGGGTGATGTGTGGGTCACACTGTGGGGTGATGTGTGGGTCACACTGTGGGGTGATGTGTGGGTCATACTGTGGGGTGATGTGTGGGTCACACTGTGGGGTGATGTGTGGGTCACTGTGGGGTGATGTGGGGGTCACTGTGGGGTGATGTGTGGGTCACACTGGGGGGTGATGTGTGGGTCACTGTGGGGTGATGTGTGGGTCACACTGTGGGGTGATGTGGGGGTCACACTGTGGGGTGATGTGTGGGTCACACTGTGGGGTGATGTGTGGGTCATGTGGGGTCACACTGTGGGGTGATGTGTGGGTCACACTGGGGGGTGATGTGTGGGTCACACTGTGGGGTGATGTGGGGCTCACACTGTGGGGTGATGTGGGGGTCACTGTGGGGTGATGTGGGGGTCACACTGTGGGGTGATGTGTGGGTCACACTGTGGGGTGATGTGTGGGTTACACTGTGGGGTGATGTGTGGGTCACTGTGGGGTGATGTGGGGTCACGCTGTGGGGTGATGTGGGGCTCACACTGTGGGGTGATGTGTGGGTCACACTGGGGGGTGATGTGTGGGATGTGTGGGCCACACTGGGGGGTGATGTGTGGGTCACTGTGGGGTGATGTGGGGCTCACACTGTGGGGTGATGTGTGGGTCACTGTGGGGTGATGTGGGGGTCACACTGTGGGGTGATGTGTGGGTCACACTGTGGGGTGATGTGTGGGTTGCTATGGGTCACCATGGGGCGCCGTGGGGTGATGTGTGGGTCGCTCTGGGTCACCATGGGTCCCTGTGGGGTGATGTGTGGGTCGCTATGGGTCACCGTGGGGCGCTGTGGGGTGATGTGTGGGTTGCTATGGGTCACCGTGGGGCGCTGTGGGGTGATGTGTGGGTCGCTATGGGTCACCGTGGGGCGCTGTGGGGTGATGTGTGGGTCGCTATGGGTCACCATGGGTCCCTGTGGGGTGATGTGTGGGTTGCTATGGGTCACTGTGGGGCGCTGTGGGGTGATGTGTGGGTTGCTATGGGTCACCGTGGGGCGCCGTGGGGTGATGTGTGGGTCGCTATGGGTCACCGTGGGGTGATGTGTGGGTTGCTATGGGTCACCGTGGGGCGCTGTGGGGCGCTGTGGGGTGATGTGTGGGTCGCTATGGGTCACTGTGGGGCGCTGTGGGGTGATGTGTGGGTCGCTATGGGTCACTATGGGTCACCGTGGGGCGCCGTGGGGTGATGTGTGGGTCCCTGTGGGTCTCAGGTGCAGTCGGAGGCGCTGCTGCGGCTGCTCTACGAGGACGCGCGGGGGCAGGTGCTGGGGGGGCGCCTCCCGCTGGACCCCCCCCAGGCCCTGGCTCTGGGGGCCCTGAGCTGCCGCCTGCGCCTGGGCCCCTTCCAGCCGGGGCTGCACACGGCGCGAACCATCAGGTACGGGGGGCGTGGGGACACCGGGACCCATAGGGACCCATAGGGACCCACAGGGACCCATAGAGACCTATAGGGACCTGTAGAGACCATAGACACAGAGACACAGAGACCCATAGAGACCCATAGAGACCATAGACACACATAAAGACCCAGAGACCCATAGGGACCCATAGAGACTGTAGAACACATAGAGATGAGACCCATAGAGATCATTGAGACCCAGAGGCCCATAGAGACCATAGAGATCAGAGACCCATAGAGACCCAGAGGCCTGTAGAGACCATAGACCCATAGAGACCCATAGAGACCCATAGAGACCCATAGAGACCACAGACACACATAAAGACCCAGAGACCCATAGAGACCCATAGCAACCATAGACACACACAGAGATGAGACCCATAGAGACCACAGACACACATAAAGACCCAGAAACCCATAGGGACCTATAGAGACCCATAGAGACTGTAGAACACATAGAGATGAGACCCATAGAAATCATAGAGACGCATAGACCCACATAGAGACCCATAGAGAGGCATAGAGACCATAGACACACATAGAGACCCAGAGGACCATAGAGATCAGAGACCCATAGAGACCCACAGAGACCATAGACACACACAGAGATGAGACCCATAGAAACCCATAGAGACCATAGACACACATAGAGACCCAGAGGCCCATAGAGACCCATAGAGACCACAGCCACACATAGAGACCCATAGAGACCATAGACACAGAGATGAGACCCATAGAGACCACAGACACACATAAAGACCCAGAGACCCATAGAGACCATAGAGATCAGAGACCCATAGAGACCCATAGAGACCACAGACACACATAAAGACCCAGCGACCCATAGGGACCCATAGGGACCCATAGAGACCCACAGAAACACGTAGAGACCCATAGCAACCATCGGGACGTACAACGACCCATAGTGACCCACGGGGCCCCCCCCAGGCCGCTGCTGCCGGAGCTGCTGCCGCGGGCGGCGCCGCGGGGCTGGGGGGGGCTCTGGGGGGCGCTCGTCCGCCGCGGCCCCCGGGAGCCCCCCCCCGAGCAGCGGCTGCTCGAGGCCTTCGCCCGCACCCCCGGGCCCGGAGCCCCCCCGGCGGAGCTGCACCGGGGCTTCCTGAGGAGCTGCCACGACCTGCCCGGCTACGGGTGAGGGGCACGGGGGGACAGGGGGGGCCCCAATGGGACCCCAATGAGACCCCTATGGGAGATCCTATGGGAGACACAAGGGGAGACACAGGGGAGACCGCCATGGGAGACACAGGGGAGACCCCATGGGAGACACAGGGGAGACCCCTATGGGAGACACAAGGGGAGACCCCTATGGGAGACACCTATGGGAGACACCTATGGGAGAGTCAAAGGGAGACACAAGGGGAGACCCCAATGGGTGACACAGGGGGAGACCCCTATGGGAGATCCTATGGGAGGCACAGGGGAGACCCCATGGGAGACACAAGGGGAGACCCCAATGAGACCCCAATGGGAGACACAGGGGAGACCCCTATGGGAGACCCCAATGAGACACCCAATGGGAGACCCTATGGGAGACACAATGGGAGACACAGGGGGAGACCCCAATGGGAGACACAAGGGGAGACCCAGTGGGAGACCCAATGGGAGACACAAGGGGAGACCCCATGGGAGACACAAGGGGAGACACAGGGGGAGACACAAGGGGAGACCCCTATGGGACACCCCTATGGGAGACACACAGGGAGACCCCTATGGGAGACCCCATGGGAGACACAAGGGGAGACCCCTATGAGAGACCCCAATGGGAGACCCTATGGGAGACACAAGGGGAGACCCCAATGGGAGACCCTATGGGAGACCCCAATGAGACACCCAATGGGAGACCCTATGGGAGACACAAGGGGAGACCCTATGGGAGACCCCTATGGGAGACCCCATGGGAGACCCAATGGGAGACCCCAAGGGGAGACACAAGGGGAGACCCTATGGGAGACCCAATGGAGACCCCTATGGAAGACCCCTATGGGGCTCCCCAGTGAGACCCCCCAGTGGGAGATCCCTATGGGGCACCCCCATGGGATACTCCAATAGGACACCCCTATGGGACACCCCCACAATGGGACACCCAAGTGGGACATCCCCCATGAGTTATCCTATGGGACACCCAATGGGAGACCCCTATAGGACACCCCTATGGGACCCCCCACCCCTATGGGACCCCCCATACCCCCTATGGGATCCCACCACCCCCCCCCAGGACCTCAAGAGCCACCCAGGGCCCCCCAGTGCCTCCCATTCCTGCACCCCCCAAGTGCAGCTGGGGGGGGGCGGAGGGGACCCAGGACCCCCCCTGTGTCGCTCCCCAGCTGCGCCTTCTTCCCGGGAGCCATCGAGCGTCCCTCCGGGGGGCTGCTGGGCCGGGGGGGGCTGCGACCCGTAACTGTTGCTGTGGGGCTGGAGGGGGTCACCATCATCGACCCCCGGGAGAAGGTATGGGGGGTCCGTGGGGCAGGATTGGGGCCACGGGGGGGGCTGTGGGGCAGGATTGGGGCCACGGGGGAGTCTATGGGGCAGGATTGGGGCCACGGGGGAGTCTATGGGGCAGGATTGGGGCCACGGGGGGCTCCGTGGGGCAGGATTGGGGCCATGGGGGGGTCTATGGGGCAGGATTGGGGCCACGGGGGGGGCTGTGGGGCAGGATTGGGGCCACGGGGGAGTCTATGGGGCAGGATTGGGACCACGGGGGGGGGGCTATGGGGCAGGATTGGGGCCACGGGGGGGTCTATGGGGCAGGATTGGGGCCACGGGGGAGTCTATGGGGCAGGATTGGGGCCACGGGGGGGGCTATGGGGCAGGATTGGGGCCATGGGGGAGTCTATGGGACAGGATTGGGGCCACGGGAGGGGCTATGGGGCAGGATTGGGGCCACGGGGGGGTCTATGGGGCAGGATTGGGGCCACGGGGGAGTCTATGGGGCAGGATTGGGGCCACGGGGTAGTCTATGGGGCAGGATTGGGGCCATGGGGGGGTGTCTATGGGGCAGGATCTAGCTCACAGCAGAGTCTATGGGCAGGATCAGCCTCACAGTGGGGTCTGTGGGGCAGGACTGGGGCCATAGTGGGGTCTGTTGCACAGGATCAGCCTCACAGCAGGGTCTGTGGGGCAGGACTGGGGATGGAGTGGTGTTCATGGGGCAGGTTCAGGCCCACAGTATGGTCTATGGGGCAGTATCAAGTCCAGGGGGGGTCTATGGGGCAGGATGGGGACTGGGGCTGTCGCGGGGGCAGTTGTGATGAGACGCCATGGGACATGTGGAGGAGGCTGTGGGGCAGCTGTGGGGCAGGGGGAGGAGGCTGTGGGGCAGCCATGGGGCTGACTCCCCCCTGCCCCTCAGCACGTGCTGCTGACGCTGACCTACCCCGAGCTGTGCTGGGAGCTGGTGGGCGCCGTGGGGCAGGAGGGGGACGAGGCCGTGGGGCAGGAGGGGGACGAGGCCACGGGGCCCCCCCAGCTCTGGCTGGAGTTTGATGGGGACCACGAGGGAGCCCCCGTGAACCGGCTGCTGCGGGTGTTCTCCCCACAGGTACAGTGCTTGGGGGGCAGTGAGGGTGGTTATGGGGCACCGGGGTGGTTGTGAGGCAAAGGGGGGTGGTTCTGGGGCACTGTGTGGTGGCTATGGGGAGTGGAGGTTGGTTGTGGGGCAAAGGAGGGTGGTTATGGGGCAGAGGGGGGCGGTTATAGGCACTGGGGGTGCCTGTGGGTCACTGGGGTGTGGTTATGGGGCACTGAGGGGTGGTTATGGGGCACTGGAGGTGGTTGTGGGGCACTGGTAGTTATGGGTCACTGGGGGGTGGTTGTGGGGTCACTGTGGTGGTTATGGGGCACTGGGGGATGGTTATAGGGCACTGTGTGGTTATGGGGCACTGTGTGGTGGTTATGGAGCACTGGATGTGGTTGTGGGGTCACTGTGTGGTGGTTATAGGGCACTGTGGTGGTTGTGGGGCACTGGGGGGTGGTTATGGGGCACTGGAGGTGGTTGTGGGGTCACTGTGTGGTGGTTATGGGGCACTGGGGGTGGTTATGGGTCACTGTGTGGTGGTTATGGAGCCCTGGAGGTGGTTATGCGGTCACTGTATGGTGGTTATGGGGCACTGTGTGGTGGTTATGGGGCACTGGGGGTGGTTATGGGGCACTGTGTGGTGGTTATGGGGCACTGGGGGTGGTTGTGGGGCACTGTGGGGTGGTTGTGGGGCACTTGGGCTGGTTATGGGGCACTAGGGGTGGTTATGGGGCACTGTGTTTTGGTTATGGGGCACTGGGGGGTGGTTATGGGGCACTGGAGGTGGTTATGGGGCACGGTGTTTTGGTTATGGGTCACTGTGTGGTGGTTATGGAGCACTGGAGGTGGTTATGGGGCACTGTGTTTTGGTTATGGGGCCCTGTGTGGTGGTTATGTGGCACTGTGTTTTGGTTGTGGGTCACTGTGTGGTGGTTATGGGGCACTGTGTTTTGGTTATGGGGCACTGTGTGGTGGTTATGGAGCACTGGAGGTGGTTATGGGGCACTGTGTTTTGGTTATGGGGCACTGTGTGGTGGTTGTGGGGCACTGTGGGGTGGTTGTGGGGCACTGGGGCTGGTTATGGGGCACTGTGTGGTGGTTATGGGGCACTGGGGGTGGTTGTGGGGCACTGTGGGGTGGTTGTGGGGCACTGGGGCTGGTTATGGGGCACTGTGTGGTGGTTATGGGGCACTGTGTGGTGGTTATGGAGCACTGGAGGTGGTTATGGGGCACTGTGTGGTGGTTATGGAGCACTGGAGGTGGTTATGGGGCACTGTGTTTTGGTTATGGGGCACTGTGTGGTGGTTATGGGGCACTGTGTTTTGGTTATGGGGCACTGGGGGTGGTTATGGGGCACTGTGTTTTGGTTATGGGGCACTGTGTTTTGGTTATGGGGCACTGGGGGGTGGTTATGGGGCACTGTGTGGTGGTTATGGGGCACTGTGTTTTGGTTATGGGGCACTGTGTTTCGGTTATGGGGCACTGTGTGGTGGTTATGGGGCACTGGGGCTGGTTATGGGGCACTGTGTGGTGGTTATGGGGCACTGTGTTTTGGTTATGGGGCACTGTGTTTTGGTTATGGGGCCCTGGGGAGCAGCTGCAGCGCTCCCCACGTGCTGACCACGCCGCCAGGCGGAGCTGATGAGCGCCCTCATCGAGTGCTGCATCGAGCTGGGAGGGGCGGGGCCAGAGCCGGCGCAGGGCCCGCCCCGGGACCAAGCCCCGCCCTCGGAAAGCCCCGCCCCCGAAGCCCCGACGCGGGGCGCCCCCTCGCGGCCGCGCCTGCAGCGCTTGGCGACCATCGACTACGTCCAGGAGGGTGCGCGGGGGGGGGGGTCACTGGGGGGGGGGGGTCCCGAATTGGGGGGGGGGGGGGCCCGGGATCGCTCTGACCCCCCCCCATTTTCCCCTCTCCCCCCCCCCCCAGGGCAGGAGCTGCGGAGGGTGAAGCCCCCCCGGCGCTCGGCCTCGTTCTTCAGCAGGGGGGGCTCCTACAGCGCCGTGGCGGAGCAGGGCTGACCCCCCCCCCCTCAACCCCGTACCCCAATAAAGGATCGTGGATGTCGCCATCGAGCACAATTTGGGGCTAAATCCGGGCGGTTTGGGTTCATTTCGGGGCCGCTGCGCCGTGAAGGGACCGAGGGCACCCGCGCTCCTCACCCGCGCCTCGTGGTGCTCTGGGGCAAATCCTGCTGGGCCGGGGACATCTCCTCCTCTGCCGGGCGCTGCACCTGGTGGAAAACACCCCAAAACCCCGTTAACTTCAGTATTTAACCCCTTTACTTCAGTATTTAACCCTTTTACTTCAGTATTTAACCCCTTTACTTCAGTATTTAACCCCTTTACTTCAGTATTTAACCCCTTTACTTCAGTATTTAACCCTTTAACTTCAGTATTTAACCGCTTTGAATCGTTATTTAACCCTTTTACTTCAGTATTTAACCCCTTTACTTCAGTATTTAACCCTTTTACTTCAGTATTTAACCCCTTTACTTCAGTATTTAACCCTTTAACTTCAGTATTTAACCCCTTTACTTCAGTATTTAACCCTTTTACTTCAGTATTTAACCGCTTTGAATCGTTATTTAACCCTTTTACTTCAGTATTTAACGCTTTTACTTCAGTATTTAACCCTTTAACTTCAGTATTTAACCCGTTTACTTCAGTATTTAACCCTTTTACTTCAGTATTTAACCCCTTTACTTCAGTATTTAACCCTTTTACTTCAGTATTTAACCCTTTTACTTCAGTATTTAACCGCTCTGAGTCGTTATTTAACCCTTTTATTTCAGTATTTAACCCTTTTACTTCAGTATTTAACCGCTCTGAGTCGTTCTTTAACCCTTTTACTTCAGTATTTAACCGCTTTGAGTCGTTATTTAACGCTTTTACTTCAGTATTTAACCCTTTTACTTCAGTATTTAACCCTTTTACTTCAGTATTTAACAGCTTTGAGTCGTTCTTTAACCCTTTTACTTCAGTATTTAACCCTTTTACTTCAGTATTTAACGCTTTTACTTCAGTATTTAACCGCTCTGAGTCGTTCTTTAACCCTTTTACTTCAGTATTTAACCGCTTTGAGTCGTTATTTAACGCTTTTACTTCAGTATTTAACCCTTTTACTTCAGTATTTAACCCTTTTCCTTCAGTATTTAACCGCTTTGAGTCGTTATTTAACCCTTTTACTTCAGTATTTAACCGCTCTGAGTCGTTATTTAACCCTTTTATTTCAGTATTTAACCCTTTTACTTCAGTATTTAACCCTTTTACTTCAGTATTTAACCCTTTTACTTCAGTATTTAACCCTTTTACTTCAGTATTTAACCGCTTTGAGTCGTTATTTAACCCTTTTACTTCATTACTTAGCCCTTTTAGTTCAATATTTAACCCCTTTGCTTCATTATTTAACCCGTTTACTTCATTATTTAACCCCTTTGCTTCATTATTTAGCCCTTTTACTTCAATATTTAACGCCTTCATTAATCTTTTTACTTCATTATTTAACCATTTAAGCCCTTCATTATTTAATCCTTTTACTTCATTAACCACTATTTAACCCTTTTACTGCAATATTTAACCCCTTTGCTTCATTATTTAGCCCTTTGACTTCAATATTTAACCCCTCCGTTAACCCTTTTACTTCATTAACCCTTATTTAATCCTTTTACTTTACTTAACCCCTTCACTACTCAACCCTTTTACTCCAATATTTAACCCCATTATTTAACCCTTATTTAACCCTTTTACTTCATTAACCACTATTTAACCCTTCTACCTCAATATTTAACGCCTTCATTACTTAATCCATTATTTACCCCCTTCATTAATTCCTTTATTTCATTATTTACCCCTTTTCCCCTCCCTCCCCGCCTCCAGGAGCTGCTTTGAACCAAAAAGCTCCTTTTTCACCGTACAAACGCAGCCCCCCCCCCCGGCAGCAAAACCACCTCAGCCCCGGGGGTGGTTTAAGGGAAAAACCCCTTGATTTGGGGAAGTTTGTGTTTGAAAAGGGATGTTTTAAGTGTGAGCAGCACCGAAATCTTCCTTTAACAACGAGGAATGGGGGGAAACAGCGGGGTTGGGAGGGAGGAAAGGAAGCTCCCCCCCCACTTTACCTCAGGGAAAGGCTCCTATGGGGAAACACCGCTTCGGGTCTGTGTTGGAAATAAATCATTTATGGGTTAAAAAGCCATTAAATGGGGTTTATTTGGGGGTGTTTCTGCCCTGGCGCCGCGCTTTGCCCGAGCGGCGCCATTTTGGGGTGCCGCGGCCGCCATTTTGACGCCTCTTCCTGCCCCCGTTCCGCCATTTCCTGAGGTAAAATCACGCCAAAAACCAGGTTTTTTCTCCATTTTTCCTCCATTTTCCCCCTGTCCCGCTCCCGGGGAGCGGTTGAATCCGCGTCCACCCCCGCTTCGGGCTGGGAAGGGACGGAACGATCGCGATGGCGCCCGCCCCTGCGGCAGCGCTGAGGGAATGGGGCCGCAGTGCGCCTGCGCGCCGCCGCGTATCCCTCCGCGGGGGGGGGTCGGTGCTAAATGGGAGTTAAAACCGGTTAAAGTTAATGGGGGGGTTATGGGGGGGTTAATATCGGTTATAGGGAGGTTATGGGGGTTAATATCGGTTATGGGGGGTTAATATCTGTTATGGGGCTGTTGGGGGGGGGCTAATATCGGTTATGGGGGGTTAATATCGGTTATGGGGGGGTTATGGGGTGGTTAATATCCGTTATGGGGGGGTAATATCGGTTATGGGGCTGTTATGGGGGGTTAATATCCGTTATGGGGGGTTAATATCGGTTATGGGGGGGTTATGGGGGGTTAATATCTGTTATGGGGGGTTAATATCGGTTATGGGGGTTAATATCGGTTATGGGGCTGTTGGGATTAATATCGGTTATGGGGGTTAATATCTGCTATGGGGGGTTAATATTGGTTATGGGGGGGTTATGGGGGTTAATATCTGTTATGGGGGTTAATATCGATTATGGGGGTTAATATCGGTTATGGGGGTGTTAAGGGGGTTTAATATCGGTTATGGGGGGGTTATGGGGTGGTTAATATCAGTTATGGGGGGTTAATATCGGTTATGGGGGGTTAATATCAGTTATGGGGCTGTTATGGGGGGTTAATATCGGTTATGGGGCTGTTATGGGGTGGTTAATATCCGTTATGGGGGGTTAATATCGGTTATGGGGCTGTTATGGGGGGGTTAATATCTGTTATGGGGCTGTTATTGGGGTTAATATCAGTTATGGGGCTGTTATGGGGGGTTAATATCGGTTATGGGGCTGTTATGGGGGGGTTAATATCTGTTATGGGGGGGTTAATATCGGTTATGGGGCTGTTATGGGGGGTTAATATCTGTTATGGGGCTGTTACTGGGGGGGGAACGCAGCCCCCATGGAGCACCCCCCAAGGGATCCCCGTTGAGGCGGTTTTTGGGGTAAAAACCCGCTCAAAATGGGTCGTTTTCCCCACGAAACGGCGCTTTCTGGAGGCCAAACGCTGGGGAATTGGGGGGGGGTCACCCCAAAATGCTTTGGGAAGCGGTGGAGAACACCCCCCGCCCCCCAAGTGAGGCTCCGAGGGAATGTTTGGGGCAAAAAGCGGGGATTTGAAGCCTGAAAGGGCTTATTTGCACCTGAAATCACTGCCGGGGGCCATTTTGGGGTCATTTTTACAGGTTTTTGTGCTTTTGTGGTTCAATCCGTCAATAAATCCACCAAACATCCCCCTTTTTCTGCCTTTGCTTTCTGGAAAAGTGAGGTTTTGGTGAAACCAGGTTCCTTTTTCTATGGGAAATACCTTCAAATGCCCCCCTCCGAGCCCAGCTTTGGGGTAAAAACCGGCTTTACGGGCTCTTCCCGCACAGAAAATGTGAAGTTTGGCCTCGCCGCAGCCAGTGAAGGAATCGTGAGGCTGAATTTGGGGTTGGAAGCCCTAAAACCAGCCCGAAAGGGGTAAAAGCAGCACGAAAGGGACGTAACCGAGGTGCAGGTGGGTGAAATGGGGGTAGTGGGGCCATGACTCAGCAGGGCCTCAAAGTGCCGGGGGGGGGCAGAGAAAATAAGGCGAAAAAGGTGTTTTGGGGAACGGTAACAAACGGGGGGTTGGAAATGGGCAAAAAGAAGGGGATTTTGGGGTCTGGGTGCTCTTCAAGCACCGTTTCCCCCCCCCCCCGTTTAGGACAAAAGGAGCCGCACGCTGCAGCGAGAGCGAAAAGGGTCAAAATCAGGCGAGAAAGGACGAGAATGCTCCAGATCTTCCCCCTCCCCCCCATCAGAATGGAGCCCTAAAATGGGGCTAAAACGAACCAGTTCGGCGCTCGAACCGCGCGGGGCTGATGGAGGATGAAAAGGGCGAGAAAGGAGTAAAAAAAGACCCGGAAAAAATAACGCGGTTTTTGCTTTTATCGGGGTTATTTGGTGATTACAGGGACTATTTTTTTTCCTCCCCCTCCGCGGAAGCGGCTGCGGTGGCGTGGGCGTGCCGCGGCTCTATATAAACGGGCGCGGGGAGGGAGCGGCCCCAGTCGCCATTAGTGCTTGTGCCGAGGCGATTCCGGCTCGCGGAGCTGCTCTTTTTTGCCTTTAAAATTGGCTTTTTTTGGGGCCAAAACGCTCTTAAAGCGGCCTTACATTAGAAAAGGGGGCTTAAAGCGGCGTTATTTCACGCGAAAATGCTCTTAAAGCAAAACGCTCTTAAAGCGGCTTTATTTAAAGAAAAAAGGCTTTTAAAGCGACGTTATTTGAAGCAAAACGCTCTTAAAGCGGCTTTATTTGAAGAAAAAAAGGCTCTTAAAGCCGTTTTCTTCGGTTTTTTGATAGAATATGGCGTTAGAAAAGCCACGCGCGAGCTGGGGGCTTCTTAATGCACCGAACGCCCCAATCCGCTTTGCTTTGGGAACGAGCAGCTCTTGAAACCCTTTGAGTTGAGAACCGAAGCTCTTAAAGCCGGTTTTCAATGGGATCGCGGCTCTCTTTAATACCGGAGCCTTTCGGGCTCTGCTCTTGGCACCGGA